GGCTAATTTATTACTTTAAAGGCCCGTTCACACTCTTGGAACCGAGTACGACCGAGAGAGACGAGACCTGTTGAAACCTCCTAAAATTTCTTAGGACGAGAGAACACACTGGCACTCTGGCGCCATCTATGCGGTGACCCTGGAACTGCATTTCACAAGAGCGAAGGTTTTGCGGAATTTCCGAGGTCAAATATGCGTACTACCTATAAGAAAGGCTCGTTATAAGGTTGACAAAAGTTTTTCGAGCCAAGAAAGAAGGGATAATGTTCGAGAGAAATAGAAAAACCTTTGATCTACGCACAATAAAACCAACCTGAAATCAACCTGAATAAAGACGTATTTAACAGAAGAAAAAAAATCCAGACCGCTAAGTTTACACTGCTACCCAATAGATGTCGCCAGACGTTCCAAGGCACCCGGTTCTAAGAGGTCGTAAGTGTGTGAACGGGCCTGAATGTTTTCATGCATTCGAGACAGTTAATCGATCACTGAATTAATTCTGGTTAATTAACTAAGCTTTCTTAATTCATTTTATTAGTCAAAATAAACAAATGGCATTAATTAGAAACTTGCTGCTAATAATTGAGATCCACTAAAATACCAATTCTAGGACGACTTGCTGCACGTGAAAAACACGGTACTGCTCTAAAGTTACCACCAAAGTTACCAAAGGCAGCGATGTTCTTCATCGCGGATGATTAGATTATTATCCGCGTTTCCCCCTGCTAGCTTTGCACGTGCTGCGCCTGTGGTAACTTTGGTGCACCCTCGCGTTTCCCACGTGCTTCAAGTGATTCTAGACTTGGTATATCAGTGGCTCTCAATTATTAGCAGCAAGTTTTTTATTAAAACCATATGTTTATTGTAACGAATTAAAAAGTTAATCAAGACGTCTTAGTTAACTAGGCAACTTATCGCTAAGATTTGCCGCCTATATAATGTCCTCCTGGCCGTATAACTCACAGGCATAAACCGCATTAGTGTATCTTTTATGGATTTTTTTTTTTCTAAAAAATTTGTTCGAATCAAAATGGAACGCCCAGTATATAAATATTGCTGCTACGTATTCTTCCCGCATAGCGGATACAATTCATGCGCAGAAGTGTATCTATACACGTTTGCAAGTCCGGCTTCAGGGCGCTGCGTCTTGCTCGGCTGGGGTGCGCTTGGACGCGTCATAATCCGATTACGAAGTCTTGCTAAGGCGTCGCAATCGGACTATGACCGCGCCCAAGAGCGCACCCCACTGAGCAAGATGGCGGCGCCCTGAGACTGGACTTGCAAACGTGTATATAAGTGCACACATCCATATTATGCGTTTCTGCGTTAATACGAGCTACTCTTCTGGAGACCTGTGTGCACTATATATTTTGCGAATTGTTACGTATGCGTACGTGGTAGCGATGTTCAGCGTGATGGTGCACATGAACCTTTGTTTGCAAGCTGAAGACTGCTTCGCGTGTCTCTCTTCAACAGAATGTGTACCGAAATGTGTTTTCCCTTCTGGTATCTTTGACTAAGGTACGTTTAAATAAAAAATGATAGTACTGAATACACTTGCTTAAGGTGCGAAAGGCAAAGAGGCCTACACTCGCCAAATTTTGCGAGAGGGCCATGGATCAAGAATGACTGGCATTCTCTCTAACAGCTGATCCTGATCCTCCCACGACGGTATCGCCCTTTCTCGAGCGGAGCTTCGGCGTCGCGACCGTGGTCGTGTCGCTCATCAACGTGGGCTTGAGGCTGTCTCAGAGCCTGGGCCTCCTCTGGCTGTTCCTGACTCAGGCGGTCCCGTCGCTGGCTGCCCCGCTGTCGCCGTGGCTCTTCAACGGCATGTCTCTGGTCACCGCCCGCGGAGCGGAGGGACTCCGAACCTTCGCGTCCTCGCCGAGTCTAACCGACCTTCCGTTCGCGCTGCTGGGCATCGGAGAGGACGGCTGCCGGCGGAGGTTCATGTGCGAGCTGGCCGTGTGGCTCACGAACCGGCATCCGCTCCTCGTTTCCTTCTTCCGACATGTCAGGTAAACACGCGTTTTCTATACTCCGTTTTACCTTATGTTGTACCGCAGCGAAGGCTAGAAGCGCGAGTTCATAGCGTTGCCAGCTGCCCTTGGTGCACGAGGGCTTGTGCCGCCGAGGTGTGCCATAGAGCAGGAAGCTCACGCTTGTAGCCTTTCCTGCGATACAACACAAGGTGAAACAGAGTATGAGGAGTATTCACTGGGCGCCATATTTGTGGGTGGTGTTTAGAGCGCACGCTCAGAACGAGCCCACATTAGTAGGCTGCTAAGACTGGCAATCCTGATGGTGGGGAATGCACGTTGCAAAAGAACCGTGGAAGCTCGCCATCAGCACGCGCTCAGCAGTCGCGCACACAACTATGGCCGCCTGTGAATACTTCCTATAGTGGCGATTTTCATCGCGCGCTTTTTGACCTTCTTTTACGGCTCCGTCTTTTGACTACCAGGCGCTGCGAACATCCCGTTCGCTCGAGCAGGCTGGCTGGCAAACTTGCCGCTACAGCTTTCCGTTCTTAGGGGCCGTCGATTTCACTGGATCGCCAGCATCCTATGCGGAGCGCAACTTCGTCTGCTTCTTTCGTGGAGGTTGTGGGGTGACGTCACAACACCGAGCTCTGATTGACTCTGATTGAAGGATAGTGGTTAAACTTCGAGGCAGCTTGCTTTGAGCTCTATCCACTATCCTTCGATCAGAACCAATCGGAGCTCGGCGTTGTTCTGACGTCACCACAACCCGTGCGAAAGAAGCAGACGAACTAGCGCTCCGCATTCCTCCCTGCGTTGACAGTGCGGTTCGCTGGACTTCTCGTACGCCATGTGATCATACTCTTCCCCACACACAGAGGGGGGCATCAGGGGAGGAAAAGAAAGGGGGTGATAGGTCCGGTGAGCCCGTAGCTCTCACCGCACTGTCAAATGAGGGGTGAACGGAATATGAGCAGCTTACCGTGCAAAAACACGGTAAGCCGCAGTCACGTATCTTCGTACAAAAGACATGTAATGCCGTTAGGATAATAGTTTGAGGAAACGGCTCACGCATGCTCAAAAATGTTGAAGAACATGCCTGGAGACATTTTATTAGGACCAATGCAAGAGGATCGTCATACGAGGAAAAGACTTGCCTCAGACAGTGTCTTCAGACGGTCTATTCTAGGATGGATTAGCAGAGCGACCGCGGCTCTGTCCGCTAAACCCGTTGCACAAATGCCGAAAAGCTGCGCGCTTCGCACGCAATGAATTCTGGGAACGTCATGTACGGTCTTCCTTGCCCCCGGGCCCCGCAGCATCTACCGTGGGACACTGCCCTTACGCGCTCGTTTGGACTTTCTTTGTCGTATCCGGGGTCACCTCGGTGCCGATGAGGGCGCTGCAAGTTTTGCAAAAGATCTATTCAGCGCATGCGTGTCATCTGCATTCCTCTTTCTTTTTTTTCTCTCTTCTTTTTTTGTTATTGGGTTTATTGTTTATTGCCACGTTCTAACGTTGAGAGCATCTGCAAGAAACAATTTTAAAACGTTTATTTTTTTTTATTTGAGGTGTTACGCGTTTTTCTTAAAACGCTCAAAATGCGTATCTTGACGTTGGACATGAAGTGTCATGATTTGTATGCTGATATATGTACGTTGTATTTATGCATGCTTTGCGCAGTGAGTTTTATGTATAAAGTGTTCTTCTCCGTACTATGCTTATTGACGTTTCCTTTGTTTTCAGCGAAAAGCTGCCGCCGCTCAACAAGTACGCCGAGGTGTTTTCGCGCAGTATTCGAGATCCCTCCTGTGAAAGTTTCCAAGGACTCTGCTCTTATTCTCCGGCTCGGAAGTTCCTCAGCATACGTTTGGGCAAACCGTGGCGCTCGCCTTCGCCATAGTTGCTACGAAGTATCTTTATAGACTCAACAATCATTTTAGAAATCTAGCTTCTTATAAGGGCTTATTGTTTTTCATTATGTCTCGGATCACAATAAAAAATATTTTCTGACTAGCTCTTGACTTTCATGTTGATACCTTGTCTGTACAGACCCGCAATAAATAAACTTATACCATTACTTACTCTCAGGGAAATATTTTTTATATTCTAATTATTAAAAAGGTCTAGGGAATGAAGTTGTGCAGGTGAAAGCGCGGTAGTATATTTTACGATTAAAAATTAAAACAGCGCAAGGAAACGGACAAGACAGAGAAGGTAGAAGGCGTTTACCTTCTTGTTCTTGTTCGTGCCCTCGCAGTGCTTTAATTTTTAATAATGAAATACCAACTAGCTCAAGCTTCTACGCTAGTGTACTTTACATCAAGAGATACTAAATAATTATCGAAATTTGCTAAAGTGCGTAACACACAAACAAACAAAAAAATCAAGAGCAGAGGACCATCGCTGCAAAGAAAATGAAAGGGAGGTATTTATGATTTCGAAACAAAAATTGCATGAGGAACTGTACGGCCCTGCGTGGGAATTACGCTTGCGCCAACGCTTGAAGAAATTAGCAATGACTGCTTTGGCGCAGCGCGCAAGCATGACTGTCGCTTGTCTGACAGACGGTGTCCAGAAGACCTTCTGCAACACAAAAAAAAAATCGAGAATAAAAGGAATATTGCGTTCCCGTCCGGCCGCCGTACAGAAAAGCAAGCTGACCTACTTCGCTTTGTTCCCGATCTTCGAAGTCTCCCTGAACAATCAAGTACGAAGCCTCCCTCCCTCCAACGCTTCCCCTCCCAAGATAAGGTTTTCCGGTTTTTCCGGAAGATAAACGACTGGTCTTGGCCACTCGCCTAACGAAAGAATACTCTGTGACAGTTTATTTTGTTATCTTCTCGCGTTTGTGAATTTGTGAATTCTGGAATCTGGTGTTTGAGCGAAGGGCCACTGACAACTCTGTTCGTTCTCTGGCTTGACTGCTGCCGCTGGTGTGTCATCGACCCGTCAGCGGCTCAGTGTTCCCATTGGCACGATGTGGTCAAGCGCTCTGCCGCCAACGATGCTTTTGTCGATCTTCACTACAATGGCGTTCGGTGAGTCTCACCTTTCCTTGCTTAATGTAATCGAAGATCAGACTGCTGTGGCGTTTGAAAAGCGTATATCGAGTGAAATTTTCAGTTCAACGGCAGTCTGAAGGACTTTCCAACTCGGCTTTTGATAACGTGCATAGGCGGTTTGCTTCAGGACAAGCAGCAAACTTTAGTTCAGCCGCAACGTTATCTGCATTAAAAGTTTCGAAGGATCTCTAAACTGTTGAAATTAACTATATGGTTTTCCGTGGTGCATTCTGCGTAAGCGGCGCAGAAATAGTACTGCTGCAGACGCGCCTTTCTTGATTAATAAGATCAGCTAATATAAAAGAGCGAATAGACCGATCTCACCAGCCAGTTTGTCTACGACGCTGCTGCAGCGATGCATCGAGAGAACTTTAGACTGCGCGTACCATAATCTCGCTGGGGCTCTAGTCTTGCATGTGCAGAGCAGGAGGCGACACGAGACATCTTTTGCACTTCCGCCTACCTACCATGCCTGACGCTGTAGCGGCGTCAGGCATGCGCTGAATGCTTGCACTGCTTTTGTTTCCGCAATGCTAAATGTTAGTTTGCTATTCCGAACGATTAGGCTTGTTCGCCCACTTTCATTAGCTCATTTACTACGTTGAAGTCACCCCTCTCAGATCATTTACCGTAGATATGTAAATACGTTCTTGAAGCCCTGAAAGCTTCTGAGTGGCAGCAGCGGCCATTTCGTGAAAAGACCTTGAAACGTCTCTCCAGGATACGTCGGTTTCCACGTTGAAACTTCTAGCAAATATATTTTCAAGTTATCAGGCCGTAACCTAGTTTTCTGTATCAGGGGTGGAACTCATGAAATGTACTTGGGAGCAGCCACGGGAGCAGCTGAAACAGCTGTTTTGGAGCATGTTGGGAGCAGCTAAAACTACATTCTGGAGCAGGCTAGGAGCAGCTCAGATCAGTTTTCATTGCACTTCAGCTTGTGTCTTAGACAAGCACTGGAGCAATTTCAATTGTGCTTAGCAGCACAGATAAACATGAGTGGTTAGGGACCTGGGCAGATGGGATAACAGTGTAATAGATGCGAAAACTTGAAACTTTGTGAGCCTTAATGAGAATCAAAAAGCAAGTACTCTATGTTTCTGAAGATAGCGTCCTTGATATTTTCTGAGTGGCTTTCAGATGCTCAAGATGCAAACCAGCACTGCATATCGCACAACCCACACGTGATTGACATAGTAATTACAGGTGCGAACCACGTGACGTGCGTAAACAACGGACGTGCAGTTGGACGGAGGAGCAGGGCAACAAATTTCGAGTTTATCCTATTGTGCAACTCGGTATCGAAGCAGCAGGCTACGATTAACGAAGTTATCGTATTTGAAGCGATAAGCAGGAGCAAGGTTAAAGTACGCCGAGCAGATAAGTAGAGCTGCTGGCCGGCAAGGTAAGAGCTGCTGGCCGGAGAGGTTTCGGATCGGACCGCGTTTCAGTTCTATCGAATCACGATTTATCTTGCGAGAATGCGGTTCCAACTCCTAAGGATGAAGTACTAAAAGGAATCTTTTGCTCATTTGCTTTCGACTGGATGACGTCCGGATCCCGGGCCGCAGAGCCTCATGCAATCTGATGCTTAACGACTCGACCTCACCTCGGCCGACTTGCCCTACCGCTTATGGTTGAAGAATAACAATCCAGTCGCAGGTGGTGTAGCGCTTAGAATCCGAGTTTTTTTCGCGCGCTTCCGACTCGGGATAGACAGGGGGAATAAACACAACAAAGGATTACAAGGCCGACCAGGCTAATCGCCCTCATTGTTGCCAATCGAGTCGATAGAAACCGAAACTAAGACGAAATAAAAAGTTTTTTTGGCGCACGTTTTGCGATTTGGCGCATAATGGCGCGAGGTATAGGCTGTGGCGCAGTCTCTGCAACATGGCGCAGGATGGCGCAGACACATGCGTCTGGCGCAAAATGGCGCAAATGGCGCAGCCGTTCCACCCCTGCTGTATGGAAACAGGGTTGAGACTTTGGGCCAGAGGCACACGGGAGGGAGTTACAATTTGTTTTTCTGTCCCACCTGTTTCAAGCTGTGCTAGTTAGTTTTACTTCATTTGATTTTCCTTAGATAAATTGCACCAATCTACTAGCCTCCTCTTTGTGACTGCAATCCTTTTCTGCTGTGTTCTTCTACCCTGTGCATTTTTACCTGGTAACGCTACTCGCGGAGCTGAATTTCAACGGTGATGGGGGTGGAGTATTAAAAGGCCCTTTCTGACAAAAAAAAAATCATAAATTATAATATATTGGAGAATGGTGCAGAAGAGGAAGTTTAATCCATTGAGCGAGTGGACAGAGCAGAGGACGCTTATATTAACGACAAACACTATCAGTGCGACGTATCAGCAATATCTAGTGGTGGTTTATTCAGAGTGGGTTGGAAAGACATTTTTTTGAAAGACCGGAGGCGACGGGTGGGAAAAGGGGGACAAACACAAAACGCCTCAAGCCTAGCATAACGAAATGTCATCCACGTATTTCTTAATCATTCCAATGGTTTGTAGGGGGTTTTCCACTTGTCTGTGCAAGGATTCGATTTCGTTGCCTTTCTTCTTCCCTGCTTTCCGTAGGTTCCGGCGACTCGGCGTCTGCCTTAGCATCTGGCGGGGCTGCTCGTCGCAAGCGTCTGTCCGGGGAGTCAGCGCTGGGCACCCTGAGCGCCGGCGCCGCGGGCATGCAGGCCGTGTACAGCCTCCTCACGGGAGGCTCCGATTCCCTCATGGAAACCGAGCAGAACGCTCCGGGCAGCCAGCAATACGAGGGCACGTTTTCGCTCAGCAATCAGGTGAGCTTCTCTCAGGTGCTGAAGTAAAACCCAGGAGACTATGGGCAATTTTTTAAGTTCATTTGTTTTAATTAGAGAGGCCAAGAGGTGTTCGTATGGTATCCTAGAAAACAGCAGCGTGTTCAATATCTATACGGTGACTGACAGAGCAATGGCGATTTCCCAGGAGAGGTTCTCATACGGAATTCGAAACTCGGGGCACTTGGTTCGAACTCTGGGTGATTTCATCTGTCCTCGGTGTACCGTTTTGCACCTCGGTATAGGCTTATAGCCTTACCTGATCTTAGATTCAACGCCGAAATATTTCCTACCGTGATGTCCAAGGGTATCACATGTCAGAAGAAAACACAAACGTGCTTTCACGCTACTTTGGCTGTGGGGTTTCGTAGGCAATTTTTGCCTTGATCCTACCGGACAACTTTGTTGATTTAAATAGCAGTTCGCTATTTGACTGTGGCGAGATGTCTGGGTGGTTGCATTTCAATATCTGTTTCTTGGAGAAGCACGGATGAATGGATACAGCTGAACCCTTTAAATCGGGCGGCGGCTTGCGTCACCTAGCCAAAGCTTCTAATTCAAATTAACCAATTATAATGCAATTAAATGCAAAGGGGCAAGCGAGCTGGACAATAATGATGAAAATAATCCCTGGAGAAGGGGAACAAGAGGGACAAGGGACAAACATAAATCTCCAAACAAAGCTAGGTGACTGGTGAGCGACCGAAAAAATCCGCCTGGTCCACTTGTAATGGAGAGGTCCCGGGTTCGATACCCGGACCAGGCGGATTTTTTCGGTCGCTCACCAGTCACCTAGCTGTATTTGGAGATTTATGTTTGTCCCTTGTCCCTCTTGCTCCCCTGCTCCAGGGATTATTTTCATCAAATTAACCAATCTCCCAATAAATTCGCAATCAATGGAGAAAGGGTCGCCAGTCCGATAACATTTGCTTGGTCACTCTCCGCTTTCACATGTCTATCTTGCAGTCACTACCTTTAAAGCCCAAAGCCTTCAATCGCTAAATCAGTGTCGCCTTGAACGACCCCAGGGTATGGAGTGTTCAGCCGTCTCTTTTTCCTCCCTTCATGCCCTACACACCGTATCTATATCCTGCTATTTCGCTCTGTACATCCTATAGCACGTAACGGCCCTATCCTGGCCTCAAATAACAAGCTACACTCCTTAGCAATATCCATCTTACATTCTTTTATGTCTCCAGAGTCGATTTAATCTGCATCCCCGCTTCCCATATTTTCCTCTCCCTGCCGGCGTCCTATCTGCAGTTTCTAACAATACCGTGGGACGCTTGTGTGGCTTCAGATCGGCCTGAAGGGCGTCAACGAGCTCGTGTCCAGGATCAGCAACTACGACCGTCAGCGCTTCTTGGAAGAAGTCCGGACAGTGGCCTGTGACCGCATGGATGCCTGCGTCCAGGGACGGGATCTTGCTGAGGATGTGGGACGCGAAGCCGCAGAGTGAGTTGAACGCTGCCCGCCGTGCTCCGGCAGTCGAAGGCCGCTTGTTGTCTGCTTCCCGGGACCAGCGAAGAACGAGACTCGTCATTCAGACGACTTGCCTCCAGCCCGATTATTTGCAGTGCTTTGACTGCGCAGACACCCTGGATGCCGCCGTAACAAAAAAATGTAATTGCCGTTAGAAACCTACAAAGCCTACGCGATGCCCTTCATCTGGCTGAGATCCTGTAATTCTGAAAAAAGCTGGTTCAGATTTGGGTGCTTGGGTACGACCACGTATGATTATTTACGGCGGTTTGCAACGCGTCGTAGTGGAACTCAAGAAGTCGTAACGGAGTCGGTCGTACTCAAACGTAAAATTCTGAACCATCTTTAGTTCACACCCTCAGTGGCTTTTCATCAGCTCATGGTTGTTCGTAGTTAGCCAATGTGGTGACATTGACTTTCCAATGGCGGATACGATGCTTCGCTCTTCGAAAAGCGGGTTCCTGCGAATGCGCGGTGCTCACTTCTTCGAGCAACTGGGCGTGTTTCGTGTTTAAATGAAGTGACTTGTATGGTTGTTAACGGCTGTACCCTCTATAACGGACGGTATCTTGCGCCACCTAGCCTAAGAACTAAAACACATTATTTTTTTTTCTTCACCATTATGAGTCAATGTCGTTTCCCTCTGCATTTCCTTAACTATCACGAGCCGGTGCGAGATATCACCGGGATGACCTTTTGCGGATTAGACCTTAAGGTACAAAAACAAGTTCATGCTGTTTTTTTAGTACCTAATTGTTATAACACAATCTTCTGTTTTCAAGAAAGCCACATAAAATTAATTTTAAGTAATATACTGCTGTTGGTTTGGCTAAGGACCCAGTATTTTGATTAGATATAGCGCTGCTGTCCGACAGTTCTAAGCCATTTTTAGCAGCACACACTTGGCGCTTAAGTTGGACAGGAAGAGATTTGCCTCAGTGCTGCTGCGTCATAAATAAAAAGAGTGTGGATTGGAAGCTTTGAAATTTGTCCCAACATCAACCTGATGTACTTTCGTACATAAATTTGCAGCCGGAGTTTCGTAATCAATGGGCGCTCTGACTGCTCCGGATTAGACCTATTTAGCCACATCCACGCACTTGTCTTGACCAAGACTAATTTCGTCCGTGTTGCCTTAAATATTTCTTGTGCCTGTTGTTTGTTCCAGAGAGACGGTGGACCGGGACATGAAGTACCTGGACTCGGCATTGCTGGGGATACGGGGACTCGACTGTGAATCGCAGTATCGGGGATGCACAGACTTTAGCTGATCAACGCACGAACTCCAAGTGAACCGAGGGACCGCCTGCGCACTCACAAACAACGGAGGGCTATGCTTACGACCAAAGAACCGAATGACGTCACGTGGGTTGATCCCGAGGTGCAAGGAGGACGATGCATATGAAAGAACGAATAGGGGACCCCTACGCCCTGGCCCACCAAAGAGCTTACGCGTCGCACTGTGTATACGCGGAACTTCTGCGCATGCGCAATGCGACGCCCCAAGTTGTTTGGGGGACCCAGACAGCTTTCGTTGTTCCCCAGCGAGGAACGGTAGCGAAGTTCCCTATATATCTAGTAAATAAAGAGTGTATGAATGTATCGTGCGAACTGAAATGGGCACTTCATAACCGAGACCTCCATGATCATCCCGAGGTTCATAACAGAGCCAGGAAAGGCTGTTTCCCCGTCTCAACCAGTGCGTTCGGAGTAGCCGCGTGTCATGCACCTTATACGAGAGCCGATGTCCGGCATATACACCATCCCGTTGTTTATAAAAGGTAAAGCTTGCGAGAAGAAGAAAACACATTCACAGAGACGTATGCTTTCCACTTGGAAAACCAGGAGAGCATACGGCAAACACTCCCATATATAATAAAGCGAACCAATGGCCACTTGCTTTAGGGGCCTCTGACTTGTTCGAATCGGACATTTTGTGACACGGGAATGGGATCTTTATTTCGGGAGTGGTGGGGGAGCGAGTGATAAATAAAAGTGGCCCGTGGCCACGCCGTGTGGCGATGAGGCATAGTCAGGGCAGGTGGCAGTCCGGGTAGGCGGCGTCGCAGTCCTGGTTGCTCATGCCGTGCAGCGCGGCTTCCACCAGGGAACGGTCCACGGTCCTGCGAAAGGAAGAGAGACCCGCGCGGAGGCCTTTTGCAGGTGGAAACAGGGCAAGAGGTTCGAACCGCCTAGAACACGAGGCCTTTCCTCCCCATACTTAGTCGCTAGCGAATCCACACAGCGCAGCTTAGCTCACGTCAGCCTCGCCGCAAGCCAACCCCGCCTAGAAGACAAGGCCGTAGTGCTGAGATTTTTTTGCGTCACCAGCGAAGGCAAATGCCGGACGCAGATTGGAAACGACTGCTGCGTCAACGGTCGGCTTCGAGTCAAGTTTGGGTCGAACGTTGACGCAATCGTCGTGTCCGATCTGTGGCCAGAGTTGGCCTTCGCTGATAACGGCATCTCTATCAGCACCACGGCTTTGCTATCTCGGAGGTGTTGCGCAGGCGCGTCTTGCAGTGTCTCGCAACGAGCGCGACGCTAGCACTCCAAGACGCACAAGTCTACCGCTTTGAGGTATAGACGCTTTCAGGCAGCTATGCATGGGCGCCGCCATAACCGACCTTCAGTTTTTGTTTCCTCTTATCGCGTTCGCTCCACTTCCTCATTACCACAGCAGGACAGGTAATTGTCATATTAGGTTCTACCGTGTCCTTCTCCCCAGCATAAGCCCTTGTGGAGACTCGTGAACGCCCGCTTCAGTTGCTCGGCATCTCGGTAAGACAAGAGAAGGTCGGCTATGGCGGCTCAATTTGGCGCGCGCTGAAAGCGTCTATAGACCTTTTCCACAAGGGCGCCGCCATCTTGAATTGTCGTCACTTCCAGTATGGGCGAAAACATTACTTTGCCGGCGCCACGCCAATAGAAGATATTTGGGATGTAAGCCTAACCGTCACACATTCTCGTTTTGGCTCCCCTCTATTTTTTTTACTGATTACAGGTTGAAACGTTTTACCATTTTGTCGTCGCCCATACTGGAAGTGACGACAATTAAAGATGGCGGCGCCCCTGTGGAAAATGTCTATACTCTCGTCGAGCTTCAGCTTGTTTGCCGCTTGGGGCGGGTCGGCGATCCACTAACGATGACGTCATGCGGAGGCCCCCGTCTGGGTTTAGAGGGAAAGGAAGGCTGGCAAGGAGGAAGCAGACGCAACGCTGGAGAGAGGAGGAAGTTTCCTCCTCTCCGCTTTCCCCTCCCCAGTCCTCCTTTCCATCGAAAACTTTTCTTAGCCTGTAACTGGCCGACCCCAAGCCACGTACTCAAATGGTACGTGGCTTGGGGTCGAAACTTTGCGTTCTAGCCCTCTTCTGGAAGAGAGCTTGTTCCAAAACTTGCAGGAGCGTCAAAAACAAGAGGAGGGCTGTTCACCTTCATATCGCTCACGGGTGCACATTGTTTATACGAAGGAAATAACACTGCGTTCTTACTTTCTCTGGGAGTCACCGTTTCGTGCGCGAAAACGAATGCAACGGTTACTGAGCCTTCACTAGAGAAGATAACCATATTATTGTAAATATGCATGCTTTTTTGTTTCTTTTCGATCTGAGTCACCTGACGTCAGCTTTCCATGAAAGTGTGCGTCCCATATTCGCAACGTCTCGTTTTTAACCTTTAAAATGCCGATTTCTGGTGTTAGGAAACGCTTTCCTTAACAAACTAAAACGCAATATTTATTTGTTTGGGCACAAACTTGTTGTGAGTCGGAAACAGGATTGTTATAATTGGGAGGAGTGCTTTAAAGTTATTGTCAGTCAATGCTTGAACTGCCTCGTTGCATTACTAAAAAGGTCGAAAGAAAATTACGCTATCCAGAATGTACCGCATCATTTGTCACTTGCGTAGTGGACTGTGTAAATTACTGGTCGATATCCTGTTCTTGAGGCAGAAAGTATTGAGGAGAACCACACGCGCAAAGGCTCACAAACGCACAGTTACCGTGTCGCCTACTCCACACTTCGCCGTAACCGCTGGTTGTACTACACCGTACAATGGTAACCGCGCGACCGCACGGCGTCTTTTGGCGTTCTCGCGCGTACGCAGGCATTTGCTGAATGTTTTCCGAATCTTTGCCGAACTTTGCCGATCTCAAGTTCGGCAGATTCGGCTCATCACTAGCACACACCAACACGCGGTAGTGAAGTCAAGTTGCTGTAGTGTCGCCATTGTGAATCAATTGGTTTCATTTTATTTCGCGAAGAAATATGGTAGCTTGGGCAAAAAGCTGCAACAAGCGCAGCTGGACAAGTCCCCAGCTCCAAGATGGTGGTTCGCGTTCAGCACTTGTGTAATGAGTTGCCTACTTTAACCTATGTACAGAGGTATCTTTCGCCTTGCAATGGCTGACACATAGCGTTTCTATATATAAAAATTATAATGTAGATACAATCAACATGAAGTCATCAAATGGACAATTATGGCTGATGTTTCTATGATATGCCGCGTTTAATAAAGATGGTAGAATGAATCTGATGGGACGCGATACCATGGTTGGTGCGGGGGATAGGTATGTGCACTCTTCTCATAGCCGTGTGTGATAGTTGATTTTATTAGAGCGCAGCTCTTAGGGACCCGTTTCCGGCTTGAGCGGCGTCGGCGTAACCGCGAGGTCACGTGACCCCCAAAGGTCACGTGAGCCCCTGAGGTCACGTGACCCCCTTGAGGTCACGTGACCTCAAGGAGTCACCTATCCCTCAGTACGCTTCCATCTTCCTCCTCAAGAGCTGCGCTCTAACCGGCGTTACAGGGAATTGTTAACGGTTTTCATTTTATTTTTAGTTAAAGGAGCTGTGCAACGATATTCAATTCGAATGTTTTTTTCTCTACACGAGCTTACTGGCACACCTGCGACTCAAGGATACTCACACGCAACGCCATTGGCCAAGAAACTCTTTTGTTGCGGTGTAATTTCAAGGACAAAAGCGATCATTTTCATTCAATCTCTCCTTTGCAAAATTTGATGACGTAACTCGGGGATCGCAGTACACCCAAGTGACGATATTTGAATGCGGTTCATAGATTGGACCCGAGCATTGCGTGGGCACTCGACTTGGGCTCGTGACAATTGCTAGCTCGAGAAGCATTCGGGTAGTGACCCGTGTCCAATCGCTGCAGCGACGACAGCAGCCGAGCTATAACAATGTCTGGAACTCAGCACGTGTCCTGCGCTTTGCCAACCCCAGCGCGTGGCTATGATTCAACACTGGCGGCATATAATCGGCTCCAGATCACGTGGCCGCTTGTTCTGGCTGCGAGTTGAGAGGGTGAACGCTGCTCGTTTTTCTTAAATTTTTTTCTGGGACTTCTATTGCGTGGAGTGAAAAACGAACGCGTGTTTCATAGGTCATTAACGTCAGGGATCCGTTCTAAGCGGTATTTGTGCACAGTACAAAAATTGTTGCATAGCTCCTTTAAGTTCGATATTTGTAAAAGAACAGATACATTTATTTTTAGTGCTGCATGATAGTCGATCGGGTGGGCACGGCGCAGACGCTTTACACGAACCAGGTTTCTGCGGACGCGCGGTGCCCCCCCCCCTCGTGTGGGCAAACAGGCACTTTGTGAACAGCGTGTCAGTCTGTAGCAGGGTGTAAGATAGACAGGTGGGGAAACGAGAGCCAAATGAGTGACCGGATTGTGTCCCTTTCGGTTTTCTCTTTTTCTGTGGCGCCATCTATGTGGAGCACCGCGAACTCTCACTCCGGGTAGGCGACCGGTGGTGACCGGCTAAATTGACGAGATGATTTTTCGTGGATTTTCAATGGAGGACTGTCGTGCTCTCGGTTTATTTTACGTACTCTCCTATAGAGTTCCATGCAAATCCGATTCCAATTTTTTTCCTCTCGCCGCAGCGCCATCTGTCGCAAATCAGGGGTACCCGCCAGCAGACGAGTACACAATCCGGTCACGGCGCTGCGGTAAGCTTCTATGGGCCGTTTCCCCACCTGTCTATCTTACACCCTGGTCTGTAGCTTGGCCCACGCAAAAAAGTCGAGTACACCAACCGCGATCCCAGCCAAAGGTTTTTGGACCGGTTTTCAAAGATGCATAATCAAACCTAATCTAGACTGCGGAGAGGGGGCCACGAGCCGCAGCTTGGCCACCCCTGGCATAGAGCCAGAAGCGCTGCGTGAAAGCCCCGCGTTCTGTAAATAGCTAACTAACCGCTGTAAAAGCTGTGCGCTGACGTCCAGGTTCCCCTAGAGTAACTGTATAGGCTCTGCTTGCAGAGCCAGAGTATCGCGTTCCTTTTCCTTTCGCCGCCATCTCCGTATTGGCGGAGGAGTGGGCACGTGGGCAGAACTGGATCCGACCTTCGTGCGGGAAAGCGGCCTTCCAGAGCACCGGGTTTCGGGGGAACATATTTTCCGCTTTGAGTTCGCAAGATATAGATCCTAGACTAAAATCGAACGAACCGAAAGCTTAATAACTCATTGAACATTCTGAGCGTCAACTGGGTACAATACAATCCTGTTTTTTTATAACGCGAGCGATGTTTTAGGACATCCGTTTCCAAGGTATGGAAAGCAGACGACACGGCCGACGATCGCGTAGCTCGCGTCTGCGGCTCTCGCGGAGTGATACGCGATCGGCACATCCGGCCATCTCGGCGAGTCGGCGAGCTCTCGTCCAAAAGCGAGGGGACGGCGTTCTCGTCAGCCGCACTATTTTCCTTACGTAGCGCGCCGCAGCACGCCACAGCACGCCGCCTCGCGCCTGCGCCTTCGTGTCCCCTGCAAAAACCGACCTTGGCTTCCCGCAGTGCTTGGCTCCAGAATGGCACCATTGCGGTACTCTGCTCCGCAAGCGGAGCATATACAGTTACTCTAGGTTCCCCGAGAAATAGCTCTTCGATGCTCTCTGCTACCAGACCTTCGCGCCCCAAATCTGCAACCGGGCACTTTGTGGCTCCGTCGTCGAACTGCCACTTTACCTGTGCTTCGACGGCGTTCGAACTTTTTGTATTTTCTTCGCGATCTCGCGTTCCGCACAAGAGCAGGCACGCTTGTACATGTGTGACAGTTTGAGACGCTGAAATCCCTTTTCGTAGCGCCCAGGCAAGGCGTGTCTAGCACCGAAGCCAAAGCTATACGCGCGCTCGTGCAATGCAAGCGCTGATCGAAACGACTGCCTTGCGCTTGTAGCTTACGCAGCGTATTGTGCGCGAGGCGTTCTGAAACTTGATTCGGAATAAACGTAACTTGTGTGTACTTGCGCTCTGCTTCTTTTCTCGGGCGGCATGCTGCTTTGTTCCCACCTCTTGTTCCCACGTTCGCGTAGATGGCTACTTTCTAGTCGCGAAAGTGTGAAGCGTCTCGTCGGTAGTTGTCGGCTGCGATCGGCGATATTGTCTGTTTGCAAATGAAGATCAAGAAGGACACCACCTGCTTCGAGTCCTCTGCAAGACAGGCTACAAGTCATCAAAACAAAAATCAAAAGTGTCTTTTTTTTTTTTTTTTCTAAGGAATTTTTAATTTGATCGGAAATAGAAGACCGAGCTTCGAAGGAAGGGACAAAGAACTTCAGCTCCAGTCAGTGATTTGTGAACTAGAGTTTGGAGAACCATTTGTCGTGCGGCATTTCACCCACGTCATCAACGGAGAGGGCATCCAACTCGCAAGAGATTGTCCTTGCCTAACCAAGGATACTGTCCCCTCCATCCTGCCGGACGCGAACCTTTTCTTTATAACTTTTTTTATTTGTTTTACATTTTACATTTACATTAATCTTCAAACTTTAGTAGGTTGAGGGGAATGATTAATTAAGTCCTAGAGTAAAATACCAACTATCTGCGCGGCGAGGGCGATTTTTTATAGCTGCGGAACCGCAACACTTTCCCACCGCACATGCAAAAGAAAAAAGGGACTTTTGTGCGAGCGCCATCGAGTGATGGCATTTGCATGGGTGGCAAAAACAATAGTCCCGTTGCAAAAACCGACGTCAAGGAAATAAAAAAAGTCCTTTTTCAATGATCAGGGCGACAGTTGGATGAGCCCTTTGAAGAAGTAAGCTGATCATATTGACACTAACAAACTGACGCCCTAAAAGCTTTTTTTTTTTTTAAAACCACTACAAATGTTTGTGGACATCCTGTGACATTCGTAATCAATCCGTCAAAGGATATCCCCCGTGTTCGGAAGATATCAGGCCAAATGGTTTGCCGCGGGCAGAGGCTAGGCACCATATCAGACCTTCTTGGCACTGTCGAAAATGTATCCATCCAGCAGGATCGTTCAGACCCATTCATTATCGCCTGTAGTTTGAAACATCGCTAATCCTACATGCCATTCATGCCCCAAACCCAGGCGTCGGTGGAAAGCATAGAGCCAGAAGCGTTGCGTAAAAGCCCCGCGTTCTGTAAATAGCCTATTTTCCACAAACGTATGTAAAAAAAAATACTACGCAAATTAGGCAACGCTAAGCTGGACTGAACCGAAAGTTTAAAACAAAATCTTAGAACAGTCGCGAAAGGCTCAACATCCCTCGAGCGTGCGAACAGCGGAAATTCCCTCCTCTGCTCAAAGTGACGGAAGGACCAATGTGTACCTGAGCGCATATTGCAGAAGCAGGTGCGGCCAATCACAAGCGGCCACTGAGTCCCCAGAGGCTGTTGAAGAAGAAGTCGAGCACGTGATCGGCGATCACCCGGAACATTTGGGCAAACATCTCGCTGGCGTTGGGGACGTTCCTCTGCTGCAGGCAGGACATCATGTCGCGCGTCATCTGGGGCGGACGCCTCACGTCGGTCGCTCCTTGTTCCTGGCCGCTCGCTGATCGCGTCACAAGCACAGCCGAGACGAGCGCGCTCCAAGCAAGGGACCAAACTACCGTGCTTCGTTTCATGTCGCCTGGCTGCAACCTCAAACCGGACCGTGAAAAGGCTCTTCTTTCTCGTCTCGAAGCGGAAGTTTCCTTCCTCCTCACTTTCTTTTTTTTTTTTTTTACCTTTTCGTTTTTTTCGCTAACAGCCGCTCCCTTCTTTTCCCATTCTTGCGATTCCCTTCAATTTTTCGCGCTTCTCAAATCAAATCCCCTGGAAACGTCCGCCGTCACGTTGCCCTACGATCTTGGGTTGTTCAGCACATCCTGTTTTTTTTTTTTTTGTTTTTTTTTGGTTAGTTTTATTTTACGTTTTTTTGAGACAAAAAATAACCTCGTCTTGCATAAAATCTTGCCCTGCCCCGCAAACTGGAACGGCTTTATTATCTAGGGTCGAAAAATCCGCAATGTTCGAACTCAATAACAAGCCTTTTAGGTGGTCCCGAGGTCTGGTTCTATCGACTACCCCTCTTGTAAGCAACTCGGATATTCCTTTTTTTATTTATTTATTTCTAAGGTATTTTACATTTTACGGGATTCGATGTAAATCTTCTCATCGGTTTCTCCGGTCGCCACTCCGACGTTGGCCATGCGCCAAGTCTGCTTCTTGAAGACAAACTCTCGAAATAGTATTAGCCGTCATCAGACCCGAACCCGAGCCCAAACTCTCCCGACTGCGACCAGTGCGAATATCACAGTTTACAGGTGCTCCAAAGCATGCGCCTCAGGAGGCCGCACTCAACGTATATCCTCTCGTCGTGCAGCTTCTACTTTTCTTTTCATGGGTTGTTAATCACTTCCACTATCGCGTAATAAATCGCGTTCATTGCGCTAATGAAAAGTTTCCGTAGATCGTAACTCTGCTAACGATACCCGGTAATGGTACGATGCATTCGCAAAAGCGCCGGAGGTGTATCCGGTGTCGTGAACGGAGTTTGGGAAACAATTCGCAAAAACTCCATAATAAATCGAGCAAAGCCGGCTACTGGTACCCGCTTCCCGGGAAACAAATGCGCGTGTTTTGCTTTGAGTGCGTTGCTTCAGGAACCGGGGGAAAATGACATCTAGATCGAAGCACCGGTGAGCGAAAGCAAGGCAATCCGCTGATCGCGTAAGAGTTGTCTGCTTCACTTGCTCCGACAAAAATATGCTCTAGCTTGCTCTGCATTTCACGCCTGTTCCTTCAGCTTCGTTTACTTATTATTTATATATTTATTTTAAAATAGTGCGACCTCGATAAGGTCATTGCAGGAGTGGAAAGAAAACATACATACGCATACATATACATTTGTCACTCACTAATTTGAAGAATACTAGGTGCCTTGGCCGTTTTTATGTGATTGATGACAATGACTGGGAAGAAGAGGGAGACAGACGAGGCTTGGTAGCGCCTGATTCTCGATTCGATTCGCTACGATCGTTTCCATGGAAACGAAGTCATTACTGAGGGGCTTGTAGGAGGGAGCCCCCATGTCGAGACCGTCCATTCAACGGTCTCTCACAGCGGCGTCACTGCCGGTGACAGACCTCGGCAGGTACGTAGTGAGAGGGCGCAGCCTAGACCATGCGAACGTCCGCAATTTATTGGCGGACCCCTCCTGCGCCGATTCATCGCAGATGCGCCTGCTTTGCGTTGTCGGGTGGCGAGGAGGAAAGGCTGAGACGCTTGCGGACGATCGACGCTCACCCCCACGCAGCTCGTGTTGCAAACACTGCACACAAATCACCTGACCCCGATCGGGCAGTTGGAAACTCCGAAATCATGGCTCTCTGGACGCCAGAGTTACCTGAGCATGGGCGCGAGCGCCCTGAGGTTCTGTATGCTGCCGAAGTGCTGACCGACGCGGCAAGCCACCCTGCGCTGGCACTCGGGCGGCAGCTGGCTCACCCGCTGCCGCTGACTCAGGAACTCGGCCTCCACGTCACGCTTGGGCCGCCCCGGGCTGACCTGCAGGCACGTTCCGACGAGATGGTCAATGATCAATCACAATCAACGTTTTCGACTACTTTCAAGGGTCTTTTTTGTCCACGTCTTACTACTTCTTCTATCGTGTCGAAGCGGTAGTAATTTGAATGTTCTTTGTTCTAAATTAGAATATGCGGCTACCATCTGAAATCCCCAGAAAATCTACCTAATTAACAATCTTGAAGCAGTTCAAAACAGGGTTGCCCCTTTCATCTTGTTTACCTATGATCCTTCGTTTAATGCTTCCGCCCTAAAAGAAAAAAAATCGTGTTTTTTTTTGCAATTTTGCAGGAAGGTCTCTCAGCTCTGCCTTCTTCCTACAATCTACTACCACATTCCGAACCTTAAAAATGAGTTGCTATCACCCCCGACCGAACATCTTCGCGCCTTAACAACACATGTGCCATCAAACATATTTCAGGCTCTACGAACGCATTTAGTCGATCATTCCTTCCTCAGGCCATTGGCGACTGGAACAACCTCCCATCATCCATAGTCTGGACCCGAATAATTTTCTATCTTGCAGGACACTGACAGGGTAGTTATACTCGCCGAGATTTTTAGTTGTACGTGACGAGAGCCCAACTACCCAGAACAGAATTTGCGGCTCGAAATTCGGTTTCTTTCCGCTAGAAAAACCGCCGATCGAGAACTGGCCGGTTTCAGTCGCGCTCACTCTCTTCTCCGTGGCCACGGGCCGTTTTCTAATGTTTTGACGCGACCACCAAATTTAATCAAAGTCGTGGGTCATTGAAGGCACACAATCAATATTAAAAATAGAAAAAAAAATTATGAAAGCCATTTTCTGTGGCTTCCAAAAAGCTGCAAATACGTTGATTAAAAAAAAGGGTAGCACAGACAACTGGAAGCATTCTGTGCGTTCACTGCATAATTCTCAACATGGCGTCGTTTCGCGTATCGTGGGGCTAGCGGATGGCAGCGGACGACGGGCGTTGGACCTCTACTTCAGACCTGTCGTTCACGGTACCGGCGAATTCTGTCTTCCTTCGAAAGAGAAATTTTGGACCGATCAAAAGAATTCATATTCATCCCGTACGACACGCCCGACCAGCAATCCGATTGCACGAAGACGTCGCCGAGCCGTCGTCCCTTCTCGTGGCTGAAGACATCGCTCGCTCAAACGTCAAGCACGAAGTGCGTACATCGAGTTGAATGCGAACGCGTACGGTTTCTTTACTAGGTGCGAATGAGGCCAATGCGTGGTGCTGCCCGACTTCAAGCCGGGAGTGCATGAACTGGAGGGAAATCGGCAGCAAACTTTCCGACATACAGTCGACCGGCTGCATTACTACGAGTGAAAGAGTTCCTGCAGTAGCTCAATGGAAAGCCGTCCGCTTCACACGCAGCGGGCACAAATTCAATCCCTAGTGTGGGCGTACCATTTTGTTTTTCAAACATTTTGCGATGTTTACTTTTTTTTTCTTTTTGCAATTATTACTGAAAAATAATTGTTGTGGACGATACGTCGCTGAACTAAATGGTATGGGATTCCCTTTTTGACACCTGCGAACTCAACGTAGTCACTTTCCACAAAAAGCCAGGAGCATATGAATCGGGTAGCGTCCGCTTTCCGAGGTTCCCGTAACTGTTCTACAGGGATTGCAGCCAGCCATTGACCCCGACCCGTTGATCTTTCGGAAACTTGTGCACTCTGCCGCACAATGCCCCTTTCAGATGCAGGACATGTGAGGCAGCTCTTCACGCAACATCTTGGGGGTATTCTTTTCGGAGCCGATCACGGGAATTCCCCACGGGCACTCACTACTAATTGCCAACACTTAGATGTACAAAGCAACTCATCTTGAAGTACAGAACAGCGAGCGGAACAAACATAACTGCAACGGAATCGTACGGCGAACGGATCCCGCAAAGCATTCGTCTGCTGCGTGCGGAAAAAACAAAACAAAAAACGCACGGTCGGGTGTAGCCACGTGACTTCCGCCACTCACTCTTTCCCCTCCACTCCTCCGTGCGGTGCGGGGATTTGGGTTTCAGTTTCGAGCAGTTGCGTTTTCTTTTGGCTTTATTAAAAAGATACGTGACTCTGTAGCAAAATATTAATCGGGTAGTATTCCGACACCATAATAAATCGCCTGGCAAAAAATAATAAAAAAAATTTGGGCCCGGGGGGGGGGGGGGGGGGGGGGGGGGGGGGTCAGTGTCCCTTTAAACTTCATTTTTCGTCTTACTAGTCGTATTATTTGAGTAATTCAGAGCAGTCCTTAGTGTGTTAAGCTTGTTAGGTTTGCAATTAGGTAATAATAACCATCATTGTAATGGAAAAAGACGCGCAACTCTTGGTTTTCTTATTTCCGGAGGAACGTGACGTGATCATCAGACGTGACATCGAAACAAAGCACGAATGTAGACAAACCTGGTAAGAATAATTTTAAGAAAATAACCTAAGCCTTTGCACTCTACTTTCTCAGAACCTAAGAGAGCAAAGTTTGCGCGAAAAAAAAAAAAAGAAAAGAAAAAGCTTCCGCTTCGAACTTTACAAAATGCTTCTAGAAAGTATGAAACCCGACTGTCACCAATAATTAGGTAACATACGAAAGTAACAATATTAGAAGGTGAGTACTATCTGAAGATGAGACTGTCCTCGGTCTTGTACGTACAACTCGCGGGTTTAATTTGACATGTATGCTACCTTAGATCGCAGTCACTCGTTTTCTTCTTTTCATGCGACTATATCGAGAGAATATGCTTAAAGTCAAGGTTACAATGCTAATAGAGTCTGAAGACACTGTCCGGATCGTGCTTCTTTCTTACATTGTTCAAACAAAAAGTATCTGCACACACATGTACACATGCTCGCTCCGCCATCATCTCTGCAGTGAAGGTCTTTCGCATAATGTATTAGCGCTGGACACCACCCGCGCTTTGCGGCTTTCCCGATCTACGTGAATCCACAGCGCTGACCGCCCAGCGTCTCACCTGCAGTCCGGCGCCCTTGTGCAGGGCCCTGGCGGCCTCCTTGGAGCCCGTGGAGCCGAAGAGCACCTTGAAGGCCATGTCCGTGAAGTAGTTGACGACCACGCGCGCCATCTTGACGAACACCTTGTCCCACTCGGCTGCCTCGAAGACCCGCAGCAGGCTGGCGAAGATGCGGCCCTCGGCCACCGTGTCCTTGTCCCCGACCTGGTTCTCGTGCCGCTGCTGCGAGGTCCAAGCCCGCTCCGAGCGCCAGGGACTGCTCGGCCGCAGGGCCGGGGACTGGGCGGGCGCGCTCTCGGTGCCCTGGTCGGTGGATGCTCCTGCCGAATGAAATGTAACTAGATTAATGTAACTAAAGCAAGGGTGCACGCGAGCTGATTCAATGTGTTTCTAACTGATCGATCGGGATCGCGTGGTTTATGGGCCGCTTTTGCCACACGAGCGTCGAGGAGACGAAACCGTCGATCGTTTGCAAGCGTCGCCAGACTTTGCTTAGCCTCCCTGCCCGCTTTTTTTCTTTCTGCACGCCAACTGACGCATACGCACGAACATGGGCGTACCAACCGGGGGGGCAAGGGGGGCACTTGCCCCCCCAGTTCTCAGAGTGGGGGGGGCAAGGCATGCGTTTTGCCCCCCCTGAAACGGCCGCCACTGGGCAGAGCAGACACAGGCCGGCGGCGCCCAAGGAATACCAAGGGCACTGCCCCCCGACCCGCGCGGGCATATTTTTAACGCGCAGGCGATACAAACCCTAGCAACGGTGCTCACGCACGCCGGATTGGCTGGTTCGTAAAGCCTTGCTCCACGAACAAGGCTACACGGTAACCTTACGGAATCCATCCGCGAGACATGGGCCGGACGGGCCGTCCAGACCAGGACGTAGGCCCTTACACAAAATAAACCCAGGCAGCACACCAATGTTGGACCCACATTGGGCCAACAATGGCAAACGCTGGCTCCGGAGGTTGGTCCAACATTGGTATTCTGGCCGAGCGCAACTTCTTCCAATGTTGGCCCAGCCATTGGCACCAACGTTGGGCCATCGTTCAACCAATGTTCCAGCCATCATTGGCACCAACGTTGGGCCATCGTTCAACCAACCTTCCAGCCGTCATTGGCGCCAACGTTGGGCCATCGTTCAACCAATGATCCAGCCATCATTGGCACCTTTTTTAGGCCATCGTTAAACCAATATTTCAGCCATCGTTGGCATCCACACTATGTCGACATAGTGTGGATGCCAACGATGGCTGAAATATTGGTTTAACGATGGCCTAAAAAAGGTGCCAATGATGGCTAATGATGGATAAGAAACAGGCCAGGGGATCTTAAAACTCAATGTTGGAATAACCAGGATTTAAACACATTGCCATCATTGCATGGCCAGCATTAAAGATATGGCATTAACACTGGGACATGCCAATGAATCAGCTTGACTGCAGATAACGGCCTATTCAATGATTGAACTTGTATACCAATGATGGCATAGCCATTGAATTAGTGTGAAAGCCAAAATTGGCATAGCCAATGATCATTGGCTATGCCAATTTTGGCTTTCACACTAATTCAATGGCATGTCCCAGTGTTAATGCCATATCTTTAATGCTGGCCATGCAATGATGGCAATGTGTTTAAATCCTGGTTATTCCAACATTGGGTTTTAAGAACCCCTGGCCTGTTTCTTATTAGCAGCCCACTGCAAGAAAAACATTCTGGGCACAAATGGCAAGGTCGTCCTATGCTTTGTCTGTGCACTATTTTATCTGGCGAGCAAATGACTATTTCAAGGTCAATTAATACTTTTTTCGGAACTTTTATTGAAGGGGGCTAGGGAGGAAGCTCAGCGGGGAGCCTATGCCTGGTCCTGGGGAAGGTCCTGGGGCGAGTCCTGGGGCTGGGGAGCCATTACGGCTTCCGAACGCCTCTTCCTGCAGCCTCCCCTGTCGCAAGACCCTGGCAGCCACTTCAGCACCATTTTTAAGCTGACGATTCTTCAATTGTTAGCTTCGCACTGATGGCATCTACGAAAAGATCCAAAGGTCAAAGATCAACGCTTTCAAACCCACATTGGTCTCAGTAAAGCACACTCCCAAGCAGCACTTCAACAAATGTTAAGGTTTGAGTGTCCCCTAAAAAGTCCCTCGCTCACGACTTTTCAGTCCTTGCGGCGTAGCACCCGTGGTAGCCGATGATCAGGGGTCTACGATGTCAGGGCCGAGGTCCGGACGTAGTGACGAGGCAGTTGACCGATGGCCGAAGGCTTGAATCAGGCCCCGTACGCCGGTGGCAGCCTATGACCAGGTGTCCGCCAAGGTCTGGGCCGAAGGACGTAGCGACGAGGCAGTTGGGCGTTGGCCGAAGGCTTGAGTCAGGCTCAGAACGTCTGTGGCACGGAGTGGCAGCGGGAGTTCAACTGCGCCACGCATGCAGTCTTGTCTACCTCCGGAAGGTTGGCGCCCGGACTGCGTGAGAAGTGGGTTGTGGGTCGGGCCTCTTGACGTCTGGTCACGCCGACGGAGGTCCGGCCTGGTCGCGTCTGCACCGTCCTTTGTCAACCGCCCGAATCCCCTCTCGCGCTCCTCGCAAGCCCCCACCTCGTCTTCTTCTTTCTCGTCCTCTTCGGCTGGTCGCGGGATCGCTCATCACACCAGACTAAAGCCTGGTTCAGACAGTTGCGTTTGACTGCGTTTTACTGCGTTGCGGCAGCGAGAAACCAGGACATCCCTGCTGCTTATATCGCGTGCCAAGATGATTCCTTGAATTGGATTCCACGCTTCATACGAAGCACAGATGTGCCGGTGACTCGCTTTCGGTACTCGACGCAACTCAGTCAAACGCACTCAAACGCAAGTGTGTGAACCGGCCTTAATCCAATCAATTGGCGACGTGCGCGACCGAAAGCGTCGCTGTGGTCGGCCTTTCACGATTGGCCCAAAAGCTGACTATGACGTCGGGTTTGCTATTTTGGTTCATCGAGCGACAGAGATGTTAGCTAGGGCATACCATCGACGAAAATAAGAAGAATGAAGGAACTTTAATTTCGACGGTGTTGGCAGTGTTCCTTTGAGAACGCAATGATTTCAGGCTTCCACCATGTATTTACAAACACCATCGAACTTGTTGTTCGCAAGGTAATGACGTGACAAGGGGGAACCATATGAGGGCGCCACCAAAACATCTCGCCGCTATTTACCAACGTTGGTAGGCCACTGGCTAAGACAGGCAATTGGTGGCCAGCTTAAACCAATCGTTTATTTTTAACCTGTCACCGAACACGGTTTTTTTCTGCGTGGAAGTTCAAAATTGCTACAGCTCGCAATGCATACAGCGTTCTAATTCAGTTGCTAACTTGCTCTGCGTGTGAAAACAGAAGAATCGTTCCCCCCGGAGGCATAGCTAGAGATTGTTCTCAGCGTGCGCGATCAGCACATTAAAAGAGCTAAGCCAATTATATATAACATTGGTAAGCCACTGGCTAAGACAGGCCAATGTTGCCCAGCCTAAGTCAATCGATTACCAATGTCGGTAATAGACTACTTCCATAAAGCCCTGCATGTAACACGGCGCGCGTTGCACTCTGGGAACTAGTTGGCCAGGAAGGAGGGTGGCATGCTTTCGGTTTCGATCGACACGTCGACAAGAGATGGTTTTCTGGTCCCGAGAGCGTCATGTGTGGTCTCTAGACTAACCTAAATGGCCAGGCCTCGAAGCTTTAGCACTGACCTGAGACGTATAGCTTGTCTTAACACATGCTTGTTGTATTTTTGTACTTGAGCTTTCCTGTTAGCGTTCCAATCGAGGTATGTGGACGAGCCAATGCTGGGAATCTCGACGCTGCGAAGCTCGGGGATCTTGCTTGTGTACGAATCAACAAGCTGTAGCAACCAATAAGTACGCATACATCGAGCTCGCGCCTTTACATTAGTGTTGTTGATCGGGAAGTTTGTTTGTTTCGTGCGTCCATAGACGAAATATTACTTTTTGCAATTACTGCATTTCTTAATATGCCTGAGTATGCGAGGTAAAACTCGGAGGCGCCATTGAAAAGCTCAATTTTGACACACTTCTTATCTCCTATCTGTACTGACCCGCAGCACTGCACGAAGTGAAGTCCCCACCCGCTTGCATTCCACTATTATTCAACATCGCGTATGCACATAAAGTTATCCTGCAATCATATAGGCAAATTCGCACATACAGACCGTTTTGAGAAAGCAAAAGTCGAGTACTTGTGTGAAGATTGTCGCACCGTTCCCCGGTAGTGCGCCGGACGGGCATGAACCCCCATGCGCACCGCATAGGGGTTCATGCCCGTCCGGCGCACGGTGCGACCTTCTTCACACAAGACTCGAACGAATTCAAAGAGCGTTTGACGGGTGCTAATGGCCATAATATTTGTTATCTGTTTGCTTTCTTCCTGCCTGAGTATGCCGAGATAATTTCAGACACACCGTTCAGGCGCAGATCTTGGGCGTCTGTAAAAGCTCGTCCTAAAAGGCTTAACGAGGTGTACGGGAAGCTTCATAGGGCCTCCGTCGTAGATAGCCGATCGCAGCGTTTGCGAGAAGTTAATCTTCTCTACATGAAACTCGAGTGGGAGATATATGATGACACGAGGAAGACATCATAGTAACTTTTGTGCAGAAGTGAGGTCGAATTTAATGTGTTTCCTTAAAAGTTCATGCGCAAACGCTGGGCTCAACTTTGATACCCTGTGGGGATGCGGCTTTCTTTTCGCCCAATGAAGTAACAAGAAACGGACGTTTGGCAAACAAAATACGTATAAGGCTCCAGATGAACAAATTTCATTTCTAGTTCAGTGGTACTAGACGGGATTATTGAAATTGAGCTCAAACGTGCACACGGAGGGTGAGGTGACTAAGCCAGGTCATACTACGTTCGCATCGCACGCACAATATCCGGTGTTTCGGGAACCAAAGAAACTGCCCCGGTCTTCGTTTTGTATCGCTCGAGAATCAGTGTATTGTACGTTCGTGAAAAGACGGGTAATCGAAAACGCAAGCAGCGCATTCGGTCGCGGCGTGATAGCATGAGGTGAAGCTGCTCAGTCGAAACCGAAACTGAGTGGCCAACTAGTTCCCAGAGTGCACTGCGTGGTATTTCGCCGCGATGGGGCGCGTCGGTTTTGGAAGTAGTCCATTGATTGGCTTAAGCTGGCCAACATTGGCCTGTCTTAGCCAATCGATTACCAATGATGGCAACTCATTGGCTAAAATAGACCAATGTTGGCCAGCCTAAGCCAATTGATTACCAATGTTCGTAACCAAGTGGCTAAGACAGGCCAATGTGGGCCAACCTA